GTAGGTCTCAACAAAATTTTATTCTCTTGAGAATAAAGTACCGAACAAAAGACTTATAAAATTTCTTGTTTGTGTCAAAAGCACTTATTTTCGTTAATGTTTAGATTATTTCGATTTTTTACTACAAGAATTTTAAAGTGCATAAACTTTCACTTAATAATTATTTGAATTTTTTTTTTGATTTTGCGGCTGCGGTGGCGTGATCTAGTTTACCCAATTGAAGATGGTATTTCATGCGACTAATCACAACTGGTGGGGGAATTAGGGCTCCCCAACAGTTCAAGCAATAAACTCAAGTACGCGATTGTAGCATAGAAAATCTCTTTCTTGAACCGTATTTTTGCGTTACCATGCCACCTAAAAAGGCATTACTTTACTGTCTACTCCACGGGGAGCCAGTAAAGTCTTGTTTTGGGATTAAATATGATAAGAATACGACCATTGACGAGTTAAGAAAAGTCATATGGAAGCAAGAAGTTGAGGGTCGTGGACATGTAAAACCAAGAAACCTCGATTTATATCAAGTTAATATAAATCTTACTACACAAAATCATCAACGAATTGCTCTTGGCAAACCAGAAGCCGACATTGTAAATGATTTGGGTGGTTAGTTGTTGTATCCTACTAATAACGTTGAAGAAAAATTTCCCGCACCTGCTAATGACCATATTCACATTATCATCGATGTGCCTGTTGTTGCTAGTAAGTGAATTTATTATCTTTTTAGGTGTGCGTCAACCCTGTTGAGATAATTAGACGAATAATGAAAAAGTTGTTGAATAGAGGTGTAAAAAAAGTGATCAAATAGTTAAGGAGATGTTTAAGTAATTTATTAACTTCATGCTTCTTATATTTACTCAGAGGCAACTTTGGAAACTACAGAAGGAGAATTATCATATAAGTGGGCGATTGAACAAATCGCTAATATTCTTGATAGGTAAATGCCTTCTACTAAGTATTTCTTTCTAAGCTTTTTCATCCCACTTTTTTTTATTTCAGGCAAACGAAAAGACTAAAAGTCTCACTCTCAAATATGAACCAAACATATTTGGATGAGTTACTTAACCACTTTAATTTTCGTCGAGGTACAAGTGCTATCATTGTGAATTCAACAAATAAGAATTTTGATAAACAATTCGTGTAAGATGATTGAGATCAACATGCGGAGGATCAAAAAGATTCACTAGATCGTGTGATTAAACAAGGGTATATGAATTATTTAAGGGACAATATCTCTATTTCTTTAACACTTGTCTGGTATGATTCAAAGTCTAAGAAAGATCTTTTGAATGTCAACATTGCCTCGCTTCCATACAACATAAGTGGGACAACAGATGTGTTGGTCATAGATGAAAGCTTTTACAGTATTTATAATTATCATGGTAGAATCCGGGCTGGATTCGTGTTAAAGAAAACGGTTCAAGATCCTGATATTAATCAAGCCATTGCAGAGCTTATCGTGGCAAATATTCATTCAAATTATGCCGTTTTCTTAGTTCTTACTGATTTAAATAATAATTGGGTATTCTATTGGTTTTCAAATGATAAAACAATTATGATGTTTCGAGCCACCAATTCAAGTAACGCTTTTGACATTATTGAGAGAGCACTTACTAAAGATTCCACTTCTATGACCATTGACCCTAATTTTCCTATTGGGGTGAGAATTAACTGTTTTCATCATTTGGAAAATTTACAAGGAGGAGCATCGGAAAATAAGATGGAGAGTTTGGACCTATTTTTTAATAGGCCTAAAGTCCAATTCGAATTTGAGTTGGATGTCGCGAACATGAAAGATATGTTTGATGAGATGACTGAAGAGGAGATAAAGGATTGGAAAGTAAGACGAGCATTAAAGCTTTTAAATGAGACACCTGGCTTTCAATTAGATAAAAATTACATGAGTATATACTAGAGTTGCAAGTGAAACTAATCTTCAATGGTGCACCTAGTGTTGGTCCCTGGACTAGACTAGTCCAATGGACCACTACTGGACTGGACTAGTCCAGTCCAGTTCCAGTACTTACTGGAACTGGACCTAAATAATAAATATGTATTGGAAAATCTTGAAATAATACACAGGGGTGAAATTACAATTTTTGGCCCGAATTAAGCTTAATTTGAGCCAAGATTTGAAATATTGCTATTTTAAGATTTTTTTTTTAGTATTAAGGTGACCTCTTAGGCCAGGAACTTTTTATTAGAAGCTTAAGTCTTTCAATTACAGTAAGAGTACATCAAGCCACACATGCACCTTTTGGGTGTCTATTTAAGTAGTCCCCAAAGGTTCTACACTATCTGCCATATCTGTACCTCAACTAGAGAGGTATCCATTTAAACTCTCTGACCATAACCTACTTCCAAACCAATGGGTAACCTCTAATCTGGGGTATTACTTACTATACTGAAGTAGAATTTGTATTTACTAGTCTCTGTTAGAGATCCAGTCTATCCACGAGGTAAACCTAACAGAGTAATCCATGTCCCACACATGTTTTTACCTGCATGTTCAGTAATTTCTTCCTAACTAGTACTTGCTGCTGTCACTAGGTTCATATCTCAAGCCAACTTTTTGGAGTGCTACCATAACCTGATCTGTATCTCAAGCCACAACCTTTCTAATTAGTTGTCTATTATGTACTCCTGCCCTTATATAGTTCACAACAACCCCGGTACCCACATTCCAACCATCTTCCTACCTGGATTCTCTATCGGTCCATCCCTTACTTCCAACCAGCAACCCGGTAGGTTCAAATTAAGCCTAGCTCTAGGTGCCTTTAGCCCATCTCATCTTGGTACACACTTCTGTAGCATGTGTCTTTTTCCTCCAACTCATGATACCTAGTTCTCTAAAGTACCCAGCCATGTTTTCGTTGGTGCTGCTAGACCCAGGACTTCCAATCCTATAGTCCGCCAGGGTAAGGCCCCCACTACCGACTTCCCTTATGTCAGCGACCTGGTTGGTGTAACTGGTATACCTGCTGCAAGTTCTAAGTTCCCAAATTGGCAGTTTGGTTGGTATGTCCCCTATTTAAGGACCTGATTGCTCGGTTCTCCAATCTCAGGCACCAGTTCGAATTCAGCCTTCATAGTACCATCGAAGATCACTGTTACCTCCAAATTCAGGACTTCCCAAATGGGTTTTCAGTTATGCCGGTTCCTCAGATTTATTGCGCCAAAGCTCCTATTTCTAAATGGTGTGACTGAAGTTACAGATTTTAGTTCTAAATCCAACCAATAAGCATAGCCGTCAACCGAACACAGGCCTATTTTTCAAATGTCATTGTCTGTGAGATTCGAACTCTAGACCTGCTACTTGGAGAGGATGACAACTAAACTACTACACTAAGTCACCACACCTCATTTTAAGATTTTATAGTATATAAATAAAATAAATTATATTTATAAAATTTTAATT